AACAATGCAAAATAATAATAGTGATAATAACAATAGCAACAATGATAATAGTAGCAGTAGTAGTAACGTTAGTGGTAGTAGCAGTTGTAGTTGCAGTAGTAGCAATGATAATAATGATGGAGATGATGATGATGATGATGATGATGGTGATGATGATGATAATATAATATAATAATAATAATATATAATATAATAATAATAATAATATAATAATAACAATAATAATAATAATAATAATAGCAATAATAATAATAATAACGATCAGGCCCTAAAAATCAAAGTTCTTGTTCTGCAATCCCGACAATCCCGACAGGAACTTTCATTCTTGTGGCCTTGTGGTGATAGTAAGAATAAAGGTAATTATTGAGTGTTGTTATTATCATTATCATCATTATTATTAATATTATTATCATTATTATTAATATTATTATTATTATTATTATTATTATATTATATCATTATTAATATTATTATCATTATTTTCATTATTTTTAATATTATTATTATCATTATAATAACATTAATGATAATAATCATAAAAATTAGTAATCTATAGACGACAGTCTTTGTCACAATTTTTCTATGTTACTGATCATTGTACATTACTTTTTTTTTTTTTACAAATGACAATATAGCACATAGAATTATTCATAACTAAATACAGGTACAAGTTTCTTAAATGTTTTACTATGACTCTTGCTGATTGTCATTGAAATATCATTGGGAAATTTCTCAAGCAAAAGGGCGTTGCGATCTCTCGGGAATCACTTCTCCCCTTTTCTTCCCTCTTCGCTTTATCTTTCTTTCCCTGTTTCTCCCCTCTCCCTCCGTCTCTCCCTTCTTCTCTCGTTCTTTCACTTTTCTCCTTCTACCTCTCGCCCCTTCTCTCCCCTGTCCTTTCCCTCTCCCTTTACCTGGCCTGTTTCCCCCTGTTATTCCCTTTTTTTCTTCTTCTTTTTTATTATTATTTCCCCCCCCCCCCCCTTTAAGCCTTACTTCAGCTCCCTCCAACCTCCTTCCTATATCTATTTAGCCATCTCCACTTTCTTCGTTCCCATAAACCGCTTCCTTCCCTTCTCCCATTTCCCTTTTCTCCCCTTTCCCGTCCTTTTCCCTATTCCCGTTCCCCTTTCCTCTCTAAGTCCCTCCGTTTCCCCCTTCCTCATCCTCCTTTCCTCTTTAAATCCCCTTTTCTTACCTCCTTTCTTTTCCCCTTCCCCTCCTTTCTTCCTTCTCAACCTCCATTAGTTGTGCGTATGATGAACGTGCATGAACTGATGGTCTAATTACTTCAATACAGTGTGTGCTTGCCTCGTTCTCATGATAATTGAGGGAGAACGTGAAGGTAATATCAATGATGATGAAAACAACCATAATCACTATAGCATGCATTTTCGTAATGATACCGATAATGATGATGAAACAATTGCACAGCAGTGATTACCATTATGACAATAATTGTAATGATCAAGATTATCATGATAAGTTGTAGGTTAGTTTTCCTCTTTTCATGTGTTCCTTTTTTCACCAAATTCTTCAATATTTCTGGTTTTGAGATATTTTTTTATTTAAAAGTAAATAAAACTTCAGTTAGTTTTATAGCATATTCATATATTTGTCTTCTGACTTCTACACTAATTATTCATCTTGTCACTAATTTATTCTTGTACATCATCAACATGAGTGACAGAAAAATTGCATACCTAAAAATTGCACATCTAAGAACTTGATGTTTGATAAGAGAAAGAGCAGCGGCGATATTCTCTCGCCCGATTTGGCAACAGTGGGAAGACCGACGAACTGGCAACAACGCAGAGGTCCAACCCTTTTCTTCGGGCGTAAAAACACTCCAAGAAATTCAAAAAAAAAAAAAAAAATCAAGAACTCCAAGCAGCCGCAAGAAATTCTTTGGGTTTGGGATTTGGGAATTAAAAGCGCCGATTCGATCAGTTCACATGGGCTTAATCCTTACATGTATTTATGATAATCAATATGTCCATTTTTATCAAATCTGAGTAATGCGGTAGCATTATCACTGTGAGTGGCGCGACAGGTGTACAAGCCTATGTCTTTCACCTTTACATGGGAAATGGAGAGCACAGACGTTCCTTTCCAATTATCAAAGTCCAGAAGAATTTCGTCTGTGGTCGGTGCAGGTATCAGCCAGAAAGAAAAAGAAGGAAGTGGGCATTAGTGAAAAAATAGGTTGCAAAATAATGTTTATATGCATATACATATAAATGTAAACATGCACACACACACACACACACACACACACACACACACACACACACACACACACACACACACACACACACACACACCACACACACAAAGTTTTTGTAGCATCCCGAAACTCCATGATGTTTGATATTGCATCATGGTCGCTACAAAACACGATTATCATTAAAGTTTGCACTGACATAAAGTCATTTTTCTTAATTTGTCAAAAGAAAGTCATTAGGAAATCATTAAAGTATTTCATATGCAGGTGAGATATTTAACTACAAGGAAAATATTGTAGAAGCTTCAAAGTAAAAAGCACTTAACTACTCTGCAAATATGATGGTTTATACCCACTCCTTTTAGCTTCATAAAGCCGTGAAAACTTTCAAATTGATTTCTCAGATTCAGTCAAAACTTTTTTTCTTATTGCATAAATTGTTCTTCGTGTGAAAACGTGGGTTTCATGAGGTTTTGCATCTTATCGCATCCACCGTGGGTGAGCCCTGTGTCCGAATCAGATAACTAGACAATACCAATGTAAAAGGCATTTATTTGTTTTAGTGATTAAATCATATCAACAAATCAAAAGACAGCCTATTCTGTAATATTTTTGAGCCTGTAAGATTGGGTCATATAGTTACAGAGTGATTTTGAAGACATTCATCCCACCGAAGTCAGTACCACGGCACATGATTCGGACTTATTGAAAATTCCTTCCATGCCGTTCCTGCGATCGTCATGACTGACTTCAAATCTTACCCATATCGAGTGAACATGTATTTGATATCCTGCTTAAAAGACACAAAAACATTTTATGCACCTTATAATATAGAATTTTGCATCGAAAACTTACGACGCGATCCGTAATTAATGGAAATATAAATTCCTATCTGAGCCTGCGTGAAATATATCTGGAAAATATCGCACTCTGATTGGCTGGCCGAAGTGCACCAAAATAGAGGCAAACACTTTGATACAAAATGAAAGGTGTTTCACCAGGGTCGAATGATGTGTACGCAAAGGGCAAATAGTGTATCAAAGTGTATCCAATTGTTTGGAGTTTCTGGGATGCTACAAAAGACCTATTATAAAATGTGTGTGTGTGTGTGTGTGTGTGTGTGTGTGTGTGTGTGTGTGTGTGTGTGTGTGTTGTGCATGTGTGTGTGTACCTAGTTGCTCTTGCTTAGTTGTTTCAGTACGGGAGAAGAGCTAAGCTCAAATAGTCCCATCAGCTATATTTAAATTATCGTATAACTTTTTAGATTGATGTACACTTTTGGCACACGTTTTTTTTTTTTACTGTTCCATGCTTCAATAGTTCTGCTGAGAAAAAAACTAAACATTTTCGCTTCATTTTACTTTGAACTTTGAACTGTCCTCTCGTCCTTCTTGTGTCAAAATTATGGTCATCTTCGTCTAACTTCACTCTTCCTGTAATATAGTTGAACAGCATAATAACGCCCCCCCCCCCCCCTTTCCTTCTTTCTCCCAAAGTAGTGTCCTAATTTCTGTAGTCTGTCTTCGTAAATCATATCTCTTGGAGTAGTTAACCCTCTTGTGACAGCTTTTTGAACTCTCCAGTTGGTCTATATCCTTTTTAAGTGTGGACTCCATACCACTGCACCGTACTCAAGACTAGGTCTCAACATGGCTGTGATTTACCATATCGTCCGCATACACGAATACCCTCTTCATGTTGGCAATCAGTCCTAGCATTTTATGGACCTTTTTATTTATATGATCATTTGGGCTTAGGTTCTTGTTTACAACTTGTTCGCTCTCTCAGTTTTCTTCCACGGCGTTGATTCCGCAATAACCTCTGCTGTTTTTGTTTACAAGATACATTTTTTTAAGGAGTAACAATATAACAACGAAATCTTAAGAAAAAAATGGCGGGTAATCTTAACATTTCGCTATTTACAAAATCCCATATATTTTTGCAATATTCGCTGTGAAAGGAATTGCCCCAAGATACTGGTTAACGAAACTGGTCTATAATTTAGAGGGTTTTGTTTACACCGCTTTTATACAGTTATAACGTTGGCGAGTTTCTAACTTTTTGGTAGTTTACCTTATCTCACTGAATTTTGGAATCTTAACAATAAATGAACACACTTTCTGGGCACATTCCCTGAGAACCCAGTTACATATTCCATCTGGTCAGTCTGCTTTGGTCTTGTCTAATCCATTTAGTAGGTCTTTTATTTCATTATCTTTGAGGGTGATATTTTCTATGTTCTTTACGTTCGTTTGGGTATTTCCCGTATCGAAGTATGGATCCTGAACAAACACCGACTGAATTTTTAATTTAGGATTTCACACATTTCCTTTGTATAAACAAGGTTTGATTACTTTTAGTTTACTGTTTATGTAGCTAAAGAAGAGCTTTGGTTGACATTTACTGATTATATCCTTTTTAAAGTCTACTTTCGCCTCTCTCATGCTTTGGGTATGCTCATATGTGTGTTTGTGTGTATATATATATATATATATATATATATATATTATATATTATATGTGTGTGTGTGTGTGTGTGTGTGTGTGTGTGTGTGTGTGTGTGTGTGTGTGTGTGTGTGTGTGTGTGTGTGTGAATATATATATATATATATAATATATATAATATATATAATATATATATATACAGTGTGTGGGGTGTGGGTGTGTGCATTTATCACATTGTAAAATTATAGTGCTTTTTGCTACTATTTCCTACCTTTGATATGGTAACCGTAAGAGCTTTTGATTTCTTCGCCGTCTTTGTACCACTTAAAATCTTGTCTTTCAGAATAACTGCGTGAAAAGCAGTTCATAGTCACCTTGCCGCCATAACCAGCCGATGCTTCGCCATAGAGGCTGAGGTAAACTGGAAGGGCCGCAGGGAATCAGGAATCGATAACTACTATCATATATGGCTGTGCCCAATATGCGCTTGTGTGTATGTATGCATTAGCTGTGTGCGCATCTATGGATGTGTGTGTGTGTGTGTGTGTGTGTGTGTGTGTGACATATAATACATTACATATATATATATATAAATATATATATATATATATATATATATATATAAACACAGACACACACACACACACACACACACACACACACACACACACACACACACACATATATATATATATATATATATATATATATATATATATATATATATATATAAGTACAGACACATATATACACAAACTCATATACAGATATCTATACCTACATATATACACAGGGCCGTCGCGAAAGCGGCGTTGAAGGGGGGAGGGGTGTAACGTTTTAAATCTGCCGATAAAAGGGCGTGGTCATTAAAAGTCTAGAAATTTGCTGACAAATACCGGTTTTAACTTCACTTACCGACTGATTTTCAGGGAGGGTCACACACCCTTCGCGGCGGCCCTGTATTGACAATGTCTACATCGTGAGTGTGTGTGTGTGTGTATGTGTGTGTGTGTGTGTGTGTGTGTGTGTGTGTGTGTGTGTGTGTGTGTGTGTGTGTGTGTGTGTGTGTGTGTGTGTGTGTGTGTGTGTGTGTGTGTGTGTGTGTGTGTGCATTCATAAATCAGCAAAGCAAAATTGAATCTTTCGTAATATTTGCCTTCAGTAAATGCAATGGAAAGAAATCAGAACGTAACTTACCGGATCCGCTGGAAAAGGAGTGTTCTCTCTCTGCGTTGCTCATCAGTGTGCATGTCTTGCAGCAGTTCCTCTGCATCACGGCATTGCACATTCGGCGACGGCTGAAGCACATCTTGCTGTTGCTATCAGTACAGTTGTTGGGGATTTCAACATCTGTGGCAGAGAGATGGGCGCATCTTGGGTTATATATGCTAAAGGAAAAGCCAAAATGAAATGCTACTAAAGAAGGAAAAGGTAGGAAAACAGATAAGCATTGCTTTCCGTTTCTACACTGATTCAGAGCAGCAGCTCATGAGAAGGATATGCGAATACTACCGACACGAATTGAATATGGTCGACGTCTAATAAAAATAATTTACTGAAATTCATATACAAAAATAAAAATAAAAATAATCATTCAGTTGTTCTCATATACATATACATACATACATACATACATATATATATATATATATATATATATATATATATATATATATATATATATATACATGTGCGATAATATAATTACATTATAAGAATAAATAGATAATGAAAACCAGTCAAGAAGTCAGCGTCAATTAACCACAGGGTGACATTACGAATTATCCTTGTCTCTCTTCTTACCTTTAATGATATAAACATCCTTGATTACCCCCAGATCTCGGTAATTTTCATTTGTCGATGAACACTTGATAGTAAATGTTTTCGGAATGGTCGACAACTGCGCAGCGAAGATGGTCACGTTGGACTGAACCACTGTCATCCCGTTTTCTTCCCATCTGCTGTCTGTTCAATTGAAGGGATAACTTAGACATTTAAATTTTTCCCCTCCATAAAACACGCGCAATATGTAACAATTTGAGTAACTGTAACATCTCCTTACCGACAACTGTATGAGGCTCCTGCCCGAGAGAATGGCCGAGATTCCAGCTAACGTTTCCCGGGTCGATTCCCTTGATGACGCAAGTGACAAGCGCCTCCTGCGTGCTTTTGAATACGGGCTGTTCCGGATAAACGTTGATTTCCGCGCGGTCTGAGGAGAAGAGTTGATTTTAGATATTATGCAATCAAAAAAAGAAGAAGAAAGAAAATATATATATAATATATATATATATATATATTTGAAAAAAAAAAACACATGTGAAAAAAATAATGAAAACTGATATGTTATAAAAAAAAACTCACTCTTAGATTATCTAGATCATAAAAGTTCATGCATATTTGTTTGAGAGAGAGAGAGAGAGAGAGAGAGAGAGAGAGAGAGAGAGAGAGAGAGAGAGAGAGAGAGAGAACGAGCGAGAAAAAGAGACAGAGAGAGAAAACGAGCGAGAAAAAGAGAGATAGAGAGGGAAGGAAGAAAGAGAAAAGTGAGAGGGGAAGGTAGAGATTGAAAAAGGGGGGGGGGGAGAGAAAGAGAAACTAACTGAGACAAGACGGAGATACAAATCTCTCTGTTACTCAAACGATATACCTAACCGATTTTAAGCCACTTGCTTCTCGTGGCGAAGTGCACGCGGTTGATGGCACAGCACGCCAACTCGACTCTGCCTCCTCCGGTGTAATTCGTGACGGTGATAACGCTGCGTATCGTCCGACTCAGAATCCCGCCGAAGTCCGTCACTGCAGTAAGAGATAAACAGATAAATAAGACAGGTAAATGTAAATGGAAAAATAAGTGAATACATCTGATGTCAGTAAATGAAGAAAAAGGAGGGTAATGCAGGAGAGATAGGGGAGATAGGGAGAGAAGAGGAGGGACGAAAGTGTGACGGGACAAGGATGTTAAGTTAAGTTTAAATATGTACGAGACTGATGAACAAAATTCGTTAGCCGTTACATTACACCGGTATTATATTCAAACGTGTGTGTGTGTGTGTAAAAGCATGTATTTATGTAAGTATATTCTGAGGAAGGAAGGATGGAATAGAAAATGGGAAGACGGAAAGAGAAAATTATATGAAATAGGGGGAGAGAAGGAGAAAAATAGGGGGATGAGAGAATATGGAGTTGGATGAAATTAAAGAGAGGTGAAGAATAGAATATGAAAATAGGAAGAAAAAGAGGGGGGAAAGAAAACCAACAAGGGAACAGGGAGGAAGAATAACAAAGAGAAAGTTTCTGTATACGAATAAACAAATTAGAGAATAATACGAAGAATAAAAAAAATCCTCCCTTTTCTCTTTTGTATTCACCAAAGACGAGAAATACAAACCATTTTCTTGATATCTCTTCTCGCTGCTGATTTCAGAGGCGTTAAGGAGCCAGTATATTTCCGGGGCGGGATAACCGGTGGCGAAGCAGGAGACGGTTATGTCGCTCCCTTGCAGATACCTGTCCTTTTCGGATGTCATGTTCATCACCAAATCGGCTGCAGTTGGAATATGTTTTGGATTTATTATAAAGAAAAAAATCCTTTTCGGATGTAATGTTCATCACCAAATCGGCTGCAGTTGGAATATGTTTTGGATTTATTATAAAGAAAATAAAAAAGGGTTTAGTTATATATTTTGGTCCATTATTCATCATATCTCTTTCTCCCAAGTGTGTCTGTTTTGTGATCAAGATCTTTATAATAACACTGGTGGAAATAAAGATTAATGATGACGGTGATTACAGGAATATTGATAATAATAATAATGTTTATGATAATAATGATGATTATAATGATGATAATAACAATAAATACAATAATGATAATAATAATGATAATAATAGTAATAATGATAATAATAATAATGATGATAATAATAATACTGATTGATAATGATGATAATGATAGTAATAATATTAATAACAATAATAATGATAATAATTATAATAATACCAATGAAGATAACAAATAATAATAGTCATAATAACAATGGGGATAATAATCATAATGATAATAACATGATAATAATAATAATAATGATAGTAATGATAATGATAATAATAATGATAATGGTAATAATCATAACAATAATGATAATGACATTTATGCTTGATAATGATAATGATAATAATGACATTAATATCATCATTATCATTATTATCCTTTTCATCATTATTGTAACTATTATTATCATTATCATTATATTCATTACTGTTATCGTTATCACTTCGATATTTGTGTTATTACTGTAATTTTTGTTATTACTATCATTATTATCATTATCACCATTGCCATCATTATTACTATCAGTAGAACTATTATTGATATTATCCTTTTAATTTTTGTTATGATTATTATCATTTCTATTATCTTTTTATCATAACTCTCATTACCTTCATCATCCTTACTTCCACCCTCATAACAATCACAGCAATAATCATTTTCATGAAACTGTTAAAGCAACAAGATTTACAGAGTAGACACAGGGTGCGTCCACACCCTTGGAGACAAATTGGAAACACTGTGGGGGACGCAATAGGACACATTCGGATACAAATCTCCTGCTATGTATGGGGGCATTTCTGTTACAGTTTTTAGAGACGTGTCGGCAATAAGAGTCGACTTGGTGGAACTGTCCACACCATGTTGGTCTGTTGGTCTCTGACGTTCACACCAGCGGCCGGTCTGTTAAAATTGTGCGAGTCCCTACCCAATGAATATTCCTAAATACAAACATGCAAATACATAGAAATTAATGCATATCTGTCTATATATGTGATAGATATACATTTATCCATCTATTTGCCCTGATAAATATGCATTTATTTCTTTATTTTTGCATGTCAAGTATACGAATATTCTTTGGGTCGAGCCTCGCACAATTTTAACATTTAACTACTGACATGTCGCCCAACAAATCTGTACCAATATGTCTACTAGGATGTTCCTCAATGACTCGTCAACTTGTTACCCAACTTGTCAGTCTTAACGTTCGCACCGTGTTTTGTCACTGGTGTGGGCGCGCCCTTACTGCATACCTTCCGCCTCCTGGTGGAGGTGGGGTTCATCAGCAGGAATTTTTCCCGCCAAAATGCAAGAGCGGCGGCAATAACGAGCGTAAAAGGAACCCGCGATGCAGAGATCATTTTCAACGACTTTGGTGCAGTCTTCCATCTCAGGGTCGTCTGTGCAGGGAAGCATTTCAGGAACTGAGGAAAAAAAGGGATAGATTAGTTTGATGATAACGATAATGACATGGTAATGATGATTATTATTATAATG